GCTTCGAAGTCGCCAGCCGCTGGCGAGAGCAACCTAGGATGAGTGAAGGTTCGCCCGCCGAACAGGATCGCTCTGAGCCCGCGCCTCCGAGCCAGCACCAGGCGGGGGGCCGAGCCAAGGGCCGGTTCCCGGCTCCCGCAGCTCCCAGCGGTGTCCTCGAGGGGCCGCCGGCCCCTCCTTCCCCAGTCTCTTCTCCCAGGAACTCGGGCCGGTTGAGTGACAGCAGCCTGCGAGCTCTAATGGGCCCCCGGATGCAGTCTTCTAATTAGCTTGGACACTCTCCCCTAAGGCTGCTTCTCAGGCCTTCGTCTGCACCGCAGTCAATTTTCCGGGATTGGGATAGAAATGATGGCTTCTAATCAGACGAAACGTTTCTGTTGGCTCTAGGCCGTGGTGAGTGGGGCTGGAGACCCCAAGAGCCCAGCAAGGCCCATTACCTTTTCCACCTCCGCCTTTGTTTTACACCTCCTATGATCAGGCTTTTGGCAGCCAAGGGGTAGGCCTTGCCAGCCTCTGCCCTCCTCTAGGGTAACTTTGCCCAGGCGAGCGGGCGGCGTGGGGCCTGTTTTCTGACTTCCCAGGGCTTCAGGCTAGACCAGGTGACTGCCATCTCACGACCCTGGGCTGAGAGTGTAGGAAGCCTTTGGTTTCTAGAGTCCCCTACACAGTGCTAGGAAATCGTAGCTCTAGAGCCGCCCCTCCCCAAGCAAAGACTTTACCCTCTGGGCTCCCAAGAGTGGTCCCCTCCTCAAGTCCTCAAGCTTCAATGGAGTTTGTCCAAGGATTTTATCCAACAATTGTTAACTGGCCCAGGGACCTCAGAGTCTTGAGTAAACAGGTTACAACTGAGGTGGCCCTGACCTGCTTCTCTGGCCACAGGGAGCCCCACAGGCTGCCTCTGGGCCTCACTGCAGATCTCCCCTGAATTAGCCACTGATGGGGTATGAGCCCTGGTAGATGGGAGAAGCACTTCCCTACTCTCTAGGCTCAGGGCCCAGAGCCCAGGGCATCTTCATCTCTGCAGTCATTACTTGGACGGGTCTTACAGGTGACAGTGTTAGTGTCTCTGCCATTGGCCCGACTCCTTCCTGTCTTCACTTCCAGAGGGAACCGGGCTGGGTTCCTTGGTGAGAATTGTGGGGAGAGCAGATATGCAGGGTGGGACCAAGATTGCCTTACTCCCTTGGTCTTACTCCAAGGTGCCCAGCTCTTCAGGGCCTGGCCCATTTTTGCTGTTGGTCGGCAGGAGGCAGAATCTAGGGGAAGGAGGAGGAGAATGCTTCCCAGGGAGCAGAATTAGGCCCGGGACTCTGGATTCCTTCTTGCAAGTGGAGCTCATCAAAGGGGTGCATGGGGAAAGCATGGCTGCCCAGCAGCCCCCTGAGCTCATCACCACTAGCTTGGAGGGGTGCATGGGGAAAGCATGGCTGCCCAGCAGCCCCCTGAGCTCCACCCTTCACCCCACCTCCTGGCTGAGCGCTCTGCAGCAGCAAATGCCTCCTTTCAAGGAGGTGTCCAGGTGCTGCAGTTGTTCCACCCTTCATGAGGGTACACTGCTTCAGAGAGCAGCCCGAGCTCACAAGGGTGACCCCGTGGACATCTGCACCCATATGCTGTGTACCCGTGGACACACATAGGTGCTGTTTGGTGTGAAATTGGATAGCCGGGGTTACGGGGATATGTTCTAAGCCCACCAAAGTCGGGCCAAGGTGGGAAAGCACAGTGCACCTCTGTATAGGGCTCAGAAATGGTCTGCCCATGGGTAAGGTGAGTCAGCTCCTACAGGAAGCAGACTGTTTTGTGACTTCGCTCCTTGATCTTTCACTGTGGACACATTAATACAGTTATTAAGCTCCATCTGTGGGCCCCTCTGGGCCCAAGCCTCTAGCACTGCTCTTGGTAGACACGGTGCTCCTTTTATTTGGAGATCTCGAGGCGTGCCACATGGGTGGAAAGGTCTTCAGACCCTTTCAGATAACCCTTCCACTATCCTCATAGACTCTGAGCCCCAAAGGAGCTCTGAGACGGATGGGGACTGTCAGGGCAGTCTGTTTTTCAGTAGCACTAAATGATCATGGGTGGGGGGAGGGTGTGTGGGAGAATGGGACCTCTTCCACAGTTGCCCCTGCCTGCCTCACCCACTGTCTAAGCAGGGGCTTCCGGTGTGTGCCTGCACGTACACGTGAGTAGGAAGCACAGGCTCTGTGTGAAGGCCCCTTCAATTTGATGTGTGACTTGGACACGGTTTGACCTCTCACTGAATCTCAGTTCTCCTGCTGTTTCACTTAGACTCGGGACAGGAGTGGAGGGAAGGAGGCTTACTGAAGCCGGGTGGTGAGCTCTATTCTACTCTCCTCCCCACCTGCCAGAGCCAGCAATCTTTCTATGAATTTCAAGAAACTTGGAGACTGTGACCCCGAGGAGCCTGGGCTGTTGTGGAGGGTTGAAGCAGGCAACACAGGACCTTTGTTGAGTCAAGCTGGGCTTATTTAAAACAGAATCTGGCGAAAGAATGGTTCAGAAATTTAATTCTTAGGAAGGCTGAGTGGAGGGCTCTGGGGGGCTGCTGGAGGACTCTGGGGGGTATCCTTATGTCCCTAGGTGGGTATGCTGTCCTAAAATCTGTGCTCCTAGAATAAAGAGATTTTAGGAAAAAGGAAGGAATGTGCCATGGCTTGCCCCCAGGGCCATCGGTGACTCTCTGGGACATTCCAGCCCTAAGCCTCTTAGGCTGTGGAGAAGTTCAAACTAGAAAACCCAGTTTTTGGAGTGCATCAGGGACCACCTACCTCTTTTTGCCCCACGTAATGTCCCCTCCCCAATAAAAGCTCTTGTTTTTTTTGTTGTTGTTGTTTGGTTGGTTTTGTATACAAGCAATTACAGACAGACACATAATGCCCAGGTGGAAATCTGATCAACCTTGTTGGATTCTGTCAGTTTTTCAGAAAGTTCCTGCCAATCGAAGTTTCTTAGCTGGGCAGAGATGTGAGGGAATGCTGGCTGGGCAGGGCAGCTAGCCACCAGGTACAATGCAAGTATAGTGTTTGGAGCGCTCCATGGCTGGTACAGCCCGTGGCTCTCCAGGCCTGTGCTCGCCCCTGCTGTTACCATGCTTACTGGTTATGGAGAGCGATTCAGCTAAGGGATAGGATGGCTAAGAAAGTGGTGGCGGTTGTCACTCGCTGTGGAGCCGAGGGTCGGCTTTGTTTTTCACTCTCCCACGGAAGAGTTATCAATTGCCTCGTGTGGAAGCAAGCAGCCTCACCTGCAAGCCTAGCCTCCTTTTTCTCCCTGGTGGAGGCACCAAGGCCCAAAGCCACAGGGGAACCGGCGAGGCCAGGGAGTCTTCTCCAGGCCTGCCCCTTGCTGCTGGTGGTTTCCGCCTTTACCCTAGACCGGGCAGTTTCCTTAGTCCTTATCATTGTCAGTGGACAACAACCTGAGGGTCTCTCTAGCTGGCCACGGTGGTTTTCAGAGGTCAAGGAGATGCTAAAAGAATATCTATTAGGCCTTTGTGTCTCATAAAATTGGGTTCAATATTTTCTTAGATTTCCGTGAATTCCTAAATAGGAAACTCTTGGGACCCAGGATTTCAACCTGAGATGCCCTTTACTGCGGTCAGAGGTGAGCATTGGGAGTCCTGTCTTTGCTTCAGCCTTAATCCGCCTTAGTGTAGGAGACTGGACAATTTCAGAATTTGGAGACCCGGTTCTAGAGAAATGGTGTGTGCTCAGGGATTCTGTGTCAACAGCTAGCCCGGAGATAGTCTCGGGAACGAGTTCATCTGAATTTACGAAGGGTATTTGGGTTTTCTTTTAGGGGAAGGAAAAACCGGACCTGTGCCAGTGAGAGACGGCTACCATGGGGGCTACCATGGGTTGGGGCACCTCTGAGGGTGGCGGCGGACATCGTGGTCCAGGGCGGAAAAGTCGGGACTCGGGCTGGTATATACTGCTTTTCGGCTGCATTGCTGTACCAACGAACCAACCAACGAACGAAGCAGTTTCGTTTGGGGAAAATACCCTCTTGACGCGAAGCTGTGCCCCAAGTCCCCAGCGGTTCCCAAGGGCCAGCGTTTATATTCGCGGTGGGGCCCCATCCCTGGACCAGGCGGCTGCCGGCTGGCTAGCCGGCCACTGTCCCCCGCAGGCCCTTGCGTCCTGCACTGCCAG